AAAGTGATTTGTCAACACTAACGAGTGGTGGATCTGCCATGAGAAATTTCGTCCAACACAAAAGCATTCTTTATTCTCACCACTCCTAGTTGTCTCTTAATGAAGGCTATCAGTTCGAAGGACAAAGTTTATCTTTTGCTTGAAGCCACACAGACACACACACTCTCACACACACTATGGTTGCCTCGAGCTCTGCTGTTTGCATGTATATATGTTTGCTTGCTTGTTTTAGTCTCAGGCTGGAATCCCATCCTCAGAATCTTTGGTTTGGATCGCCTCTTTTCAGCATCAATCTGTGCATCTTCTGCATTACACTAGGCTGCAGAGTGTCTGACAATACCTGGCTCTTCTCCTGATGAAAGTCTTGACTTTTCTGCTTAGCATTTATCAGATTTAATTTCCATACAAATGAGACAAATGAGTATGTGTGTATATAAATAATTAACATTACAACAAACTGATATGGAAATTAATATGACCCGAATATGTCGGACAACCGTTTAGCCAAATAATATGGAAGAAGCTGGAGTGAGTCTGGCAACCATTCTATTATCCCAGCTCCTTCTTTTATGCCAGGCCCTTTTATTGCCCCCCGGGTGATTTCAAATGCAGCTACAAAGTTTCAGGTAGTCAGTCATTACCTAGGTATTCCCCAGCCCCTCAGATGCCTCACAGGTGCGTGATGGATCTGTCACAAGATGAACATAGATAGAATGAAAGCAATAAACAGAGATTGAAATTGGCTCCAAATTCTACAATAGTGCTGGGATAATGTCAACCTCTTCCTCAGCAACTAGAGATTACAGTTCCTTGAAAATACAATAAAAAATAAATGTCATTTTTAGAACCTTGGGGAAGCGGCTAAATCTTCACAAAGCAAATGTTTCTAAAGAAACCCTTTGAGCACAATGAGCCTTCTGGAACAAAAATAATTTGATCTACTTTCTTTTTATAGATTCTCACCAAGGGGAAGGAATAATTTCTGCTACCAACAAGTTCACCTGGGATCAGAGAGGACTAGAGTGTGCTAACAGGCCCTGTTTCTTCCTTGCTTTCTTATGATGAGACTGTTTTTATATGGTGGAAATATTCTAAATGTAAACAAAGAAAAATTAGGCTGAAAACTGCAAATGCTAAGTTTAGAGTTTGCAGAAAATATCAGCTAGTGAAGAACAGCTGCCAGAATAAGATACTTGCACTCATAGAAATGATTTTTCTTACAAAATTTGAAAGAAATTGTAATGATGAATCATAAGCCCTGCTATAAATAAATTATGACTGCAAATTGCCAGATACAGAAATATTCTCATTAAAGTCCATTGTCTTTGAAGACAAAATTGCCTCATTTATTATTTCACAAGACTCAAACCAATTTAGAACAATTATAGCCTGCATTATCAAACATGCTTGATATGCACTGAAAATACATTAAAAGAGAAACAGGTGCTGTTCCAATCTAATAGGATCAATCACTGAGTATCTCCTACAAGAAGAATGCCACTTTCTTGTGGAAGCAATTTTGAGTGTCTAACTGAATGAATGCCAATTTTCAATCTTCCAAGGACAATTTATGCATTCATTCTTCATTCAATCAATCCTTCTACATTTATACTTTACCTGTTAAGTAAAGCAATTAAAAAAAATGGTGAGATGTTCCAAGATAAGATGAGCATTGACATTTAAACCTAAGCATATTCTTTAGGAGAATAGAAATGGCATGTACTCAAATAAGGTTGAAATTAAGTTGTACGTATAGTACCTCTAATTTGAAAGGAAGAAAACTATGTTTTGATTGAAGAAGCCTGGAAAGTCTATGACAAATTTTTACTCTGTGAACTGAGGGCTGTTCACATGTAGACATTCAGGAAGGATATTCCACATGAGATGAAGAATCTTTAACTGGGCAAAGATGAAATAATAGTGAAGAGTTTAGTCTGGAGTAGATGGAGCATTAAAGAGAGTTGTGATAAATAACAAATCAGAGCAAGATTGGAAACAAGTTATTATAGATTAATTGAATACTAATGCACACTTGAGAGTATGTATGTGGATTAATAATATGACAGAGTGGACAAAAGTATACGGGAAAACTTATGATTGTTGTACTTACCAGGATAACTTTGAAGTTAGTAGGTGAAGACATGGGTGTAATGGTAAAAATATGCAACTGATTAGAAAGAATAAACAGGATAATTTTAAAAGGATAAACAAAAATAAGTTCAATTGAATGTTAATAAAATAGTTTATTATAAAGTAGTTGGACTCATTAAAATACATATCAAGAAAAGAAAGCAGTGAAAATTAAGGAGCTTGGATCTCATTTTAGAATTCAGAATAATATCACAGTAAACATGGATAGCGCCAAAGGGAGAAATTCATAGAGATGAAAATATTAAGAAGTAGACAATGCATAATGAGAGTTGGCAGTGCTACAGTGATAACACCATGCTCTGAGAGGCTGACTCCTTTGGGAAGGTTCTGGGTTTGTATCTAGAAACCTCTCTGAAAACACTGAGCATGTTCACATGACCACAATCTAGGGTTGACTAAAGCTGGGGTGAACCACAATATGAAGACCCTTTGGGGATTGTCTTTTCTTCTCTCTCCCTCTTTCTCTATCTCTGTCTCTGTTATTCCTGGGAAAATAAACAAAAATTTTTTAGAGAGTCAAATATACAATAAAAAGAACTAACAAATCAATTTTCTTCTCTTATATTTTGTGTAAAGTTTACTTTCTTTTCCCCCATGAGAGATGGAACTAGAGAAAGACAGAGACACCTAAACAGCATTATTGTACTACAATCCTCCTCCTAGCCTCAGCCAACCAGGATCATGAACACAAGCGTGAATGTACCTGGTATGCTCAAGGAAATCAGGAGGTGAACTCAGAACCATCCCAAATTGCCTCATCATTGCCAACAGTTGCATTAACTCTGTGATACTATGGCTGGTAAACAAAATACATTTTCTTAACTCTCTCTAAAATGGGATACTCTGGCATGAGGGAGCAGTAAAAACGTGAAAGAAGTTTAAAGTAACCAGCCAGACAAGACAAAGGAAACATTGCTAGAGGTGTTGCAGATATTAAACAAACCAGCCAAATGATATTATAAGAAATTTTATGTCAAAAATTAGAAAATGTAAATGAAATAAATGAACTAAATATATATAAATATAAAAAATAACCAAAACAGACACATATAGAAATAAAATACCTTGATAAATGTACAACAATTCAGTAAGCTTAGTACATACAATAAAAATAATTTAAAAAATTCTTCACAAATACACTTCCTGGCCAGATTTCATCAGTAAGTTCCCTCAAACATTCAAGGAAGAAATATTCTCAGTAGTGTGTATAAATCTGTTAGAGAATAGAAAAAGTATGAACATTTTGTAATTCATTACATGTACTGAGTCTAATCTTGACCCATATCATATAAGAACTTATGAGAAAAGAAAATTATAGGCCAGCGTTTTTCCATAAACGCTAAATAAAATATAAAAACAAATGCAGCGCTGTAACACAGAATAAATATGTCACATCATGTCCAGTTGTGTATCACAGGATTTCAAGATTAGTATTATGTGATATATTCAATTGGTAAAAATTTACTACACTAAAATACTGAGACAAATACGTAGAAAAGTCATATAGTAAAATTCAAATCCATTCATGATAAAATTTCTTGATAAACTAGAAATGTCACATAACTTTTCAACCCAATAGAAAGTATGTACAAAAAAAGTAGAGCAAATAAAATTTAAATATTGAATTATTCTTTTTTCTTAGACTTAGGCATAAGTCAAAATTCTCACTTTCACATTTCTTTTTAGTATGTTTAGTATTCATCTGGTCAGGAGGTGCATTGCGAGGAATGTTATTTATTGCTTTGATTGTACCTACTAAACTTATTGAATGGTTACAGATTTGTTGAAGTTTTTCACATCTATGTGCATCTGTTTTGATTATTTTTTATATTTACATATATTTAGTTGATCTATATCATTCACATTTTCTAATTTGCTGATTCCCATGTAGTCGACTGCAGTTTGAGTCCCGGACCCAGTGGCTTAAACTCACACTGGGCACGTGTGCGTGTGTGCCCAAGATCCCAAAAAGAGAATGGAGGAGAAAAGTTTGCAGCGTGGCCATCGCTTGCTTTCTGTCTCTCTGTCTCTCTCTGTCTTTTTTGGTGAGTGCACACACTCTATAGCAAAAATTTCTAAAAAAAAAAAAAAAATTTAAGTGTATGCTTTTTTTTGAGAGAGAAAGATTTTTTTTTTCTGTAGGGCACATGCATTTGCTGGAAAGAGACAGACAAAGAGAGAGAAAGTGAGAAACCAATCCCCCTCATTAGGGAGGGCCACTCCACAATCCCTTCTCCTTCATTCTCTTATTGGGATTTTGGGCTCATATGCAGCACATGTACCCATTACAATCTGCCAGGTCCAGAACTTGAGCCATGGTCAACCATGTGGGAGTCAGCACCTTAATCACTATGCCATCTTCTGGCCCCAGTGTATGCTTTTTCTAAAATCCTAAATGATAGTTTAAAAAATTTCTTTTTTCTACATAAAGAGCATTTTTTTTCTATATTCAGCAGGTAACTGAGTAATTATTTTGAAGATAGGCTATATGGTATTAAAACAAAAATCAATTATATATAGACTTTTTATACAATAACAGGTTAGAAAGAAAAACCTTTGGTAATTTGGTGTGTATCTTAAAATGCCTTTGAAACTGCTGCCTTAAAAGACAGCTAGTACATTTTCCACAACCATGTTGTTTAGTACTAATGACAAAGACTGGGATAGCTGTGCCATTGGCCTCGCGTGTATGTCCTCAGTTCCTAGTGATCACGTGATGAATCGGTTTGCAAATGTCCAGAAAATATTGTACGGGGGCCAGTAGGTGGTATAACAACTAAAGGGCTGGGCTCCCATGTGGCCAACTGTCGCTCAAGTTCCTAACCCCGCAGCTTGAAAATCACAAAGGGGTGCTTACCTCGGCAGCACATATACTAAACTTGGAACAATGCAAAGAAGATTAGCATGGCCCCTGGGCAAGGAGGACATGCACGTTCGTGAAGCGTTCCCTATTTTTCAAGATCTAAGATCCATCCTGGATTGTTGCACTTAAATAAAAGTTTGAAGGATTAAAAAAAGAAGAAAGAAAAGAAAAAGAAAAAAGGAAATTACAAAGAACATACATATGTGCATGCATGCCCAAAATCCCAAGAGGAGAATAGAGGAGACGAAATTGCAGTGTTGACATTCCCTCTGGGGAATGATTTCTCACTTTCCTTCTCTCTGTCTCTCTCTGGCAAGTGAACACACCCTATACCAACAACCCATTATAAAAAAGAAAAAAAAGTTGTATGAGCCTATTCCTGAGACTACCGAGTGGCCAAAATAATTGAAATTAAGATTGATTTCACTGGTTATGTCCATAATGTCTCAATCACATGTTTATTTCAGCTTTTAATAATCAAGATCTATAGAAAAATGTCATGATCTGTGGCTTTATACTTTCCCTAATTATTCATTGGTCACCAGTATGTATTTGTATCCCCAAGAGCCATAGTGTAAGAACTAAAAGCAACAAAATATGAGATTCCTGCCATTACTGTATCACAGCTCTATAAAGCAGTCAGATTTCCCATTTAGTTAAGGTGAAAGCATCCTGGAGATGTTTTTTTCTGGTCGTCTATTGTTATTGATTCGCTGCTTCATAAAACTTTCGCGCTCATCCCCTATCCCATTACTCACCCCTCTACAGCGTATACATAATACACATATAGTTCTTGGCTGTGTCAGGCCTAATTTAGGTTCTCCATTTACTGGACTGGGACCAAATCTAAATCCCTTATGCAGAAGGAAGCTATGCCAAATGGAGACATTTGAAGATGCTAAAATCCCTTAGAAGCGTTTATATGGTTTGTAAGCCATGTGCACCAGAGGCATTTTTTTTTTAAGCAGTATTATGTTAGATCTCCACCAATTGACAAAGATGGGGAACTGGTTTGTGCTTTGATGTTTATGCCAACTTAGTCAACTTGATAACAAAAGTAAACGTTCTTTCCACGTTGTGGTGTTCTAATTTTGATCTTATTGTTAAAATAATTAAAAGGTAATAAATGTCACATTGCTTCAGGGGTAAATGTGAAATGTTCCCTCAAGCCACCTCTGTCTCTAAATATTTAGCAGAATATTTATGATGCAAAGTAGCTTCTCGTGTTGTCCTAAAATCCTTCACCTGCACTAATTTTTACCCTTTAGTAATATGCCATTTGATTCTCTGTCATGCTTAAAATAGAATTGCAATGAAAAGGAACAAACATGGTTACAGTTAATGAGCTATTACTTGGGTATTTGAGCATAAAGAGACTTCAAGACTTAAGGGAATGAAGAAAAGTACGAATGAAAACTTTTCATCACAACCTGATTTTACTTGTCCAGAAGTATTTTATGGTTTATAGGAAGTTTCTTAAATGGCTTATCACTATTTCTTTGAAAATTAAGCCCCTTTAATTTTTCTCAGGCATATGAGGGACTTCAGAAAGTTCATTAGTGAACAGAATTAAAGTATAAATTTATTTTAGTGCAAAACTCATGCATAGATTTTCAAAATAGGCATTTTCCATGAATTTTGGAGATCACTTGTATTCCACATTTAATTTCCTTGCATCTTGTACATTATCTCTCTTTATATTGGAATGTGTGTCTCCTAATGTCATCAGTGGACCACAGAGAAAGAATATTATAGGTCCATAAATATGGACGTTATCAACTGCATTCCTTGTGCTTTGAATGGTGCCTGGCATTTAGCTTAATAAACAAACTCATCACAAACCACTTGAGTTGAAAACTCAAAGAGTGTCTCTTGTGCTTTAGAGATATTATACACACTATTCAAATTCAAAAAAGTACATATTTTCTGTAAGTGTGAAGTCAACTTAAGATATATACTGGACTTTTCATCAACACATGCTCACATTTTCCATTGTAATATTTTATTATTCAGGTTTTTTGCTTGGTTGCTTCTGCTTAGCTTTATTCATTGGTTATCCCACTAAAGATACTGAGACTTATGAGTTAATCATATTATTTATAAAATGTTATGTAGTTTCAATAGATTCTCCTGAAGCAATGCAGTTACCTTTTTGAAATTCAACTCTGAAGCTTGACCTACTACGACTATGTACAAAATCCTCTTTGAGTGTCCCTTTAAAATTTTTCTTTCTCAGAAAATTTTGTGCAATTTTACCAAACAAAGTAATTTCTATATGTACAAAAATTATAGATATATTTATTCATCATTAAAAACTCAAGATAAGGGTCAGTACATAATATTAATAATATAGTTGGAAAGAGATACTTGGACAGAAAAGAAATAGTTCTGAAATACAAAGTGAATTCATTTTTTTAAAAAAAGAGAGAAAAAGTATTTATACTCTTTTTCAGTTCTTCGAAATCTTTATTTAATGAGGTTTTAAATGACAGAATTTGTATACATTTGGCTACTCTGTGTTCTACATATTTCATAGACTAGCAAACACGTACTTCTCAGAGCAATTTGAAAAGTGACTATCAGATAGAAAACTGTCCTTTCAATTTTCGGTCTCCTACCAGCTGTGTGCTACACAAAGGAAGTCAGGTTTCAAGCCTTGGGTTCAGGAAAGAACTCTCTTCAATTAATGATCCTCTGAATTACAGTGCCTGAAAAATGAACCTTCTTAGATACTTAGTTAACACTTTATATGATCTTCCTCTTTTCCTTCTGAGATGGAGAAGTTATACCATAAAATAAAAACAGTGTTACCTACTAGAGGAAGTGAAAAAATGGCCTGGTACCCTATAAAGGGAGAAATCATGAAGAGAAAGAATATTTAGGCACTCTAGGAATGTAGACTATGCCAAGCCTCAAAATGTGCCAGAATCTAGAGGAGGAAAAGGATGCATCTAATGGGCAATATTATGGAGTCCTCGGAGTCTAGTAAATAAAAATGGATGTGAAAATGATTAGCACACATACCATGCTCATGAAAATAAAAGCTACTCAATGTTAAGACACTGCACGGGAGAAGTTTAAAAATAAAGTTACTAAATAACATCAAAAACGTGTGTGTTCTGTAGATATTGCCTGCAGATATTTCTTTATTAAAATATATCCACATTAGTGCAGGAGATTTGGTGAAAAAGAAAAAAGCCTGAATTCACACAATCATTCTAAAATATCCAGTCTTTCCCTGTCCATTTAAAGTTGTGCTCTTTTCTGCAGCTGTTGTAGACTCAACAGTTTTAGTACCTATTGACCAGAAAATTCACTTAATTTTAATTTTTCAGACAGAATTGTATAAGTTGAACCAATTGATGTGTCCATGGTGTTGGCTATTTTCTGTGTGAATCACTGATTTTCTTCCATCAGGGCACAAATAAGATGAATTTTATTCCATGCAAGTTTCCTTGCGAGTTGTCTGCGACTGTGGGCATAATCTTCAACATTGCTTTGTCCCTTCTTAAAATGAGATATCCATATGTTAACTGCTGTTTCCTTTGGACCATTGTTCACATAAACTTTTCGTAATGTATCAGTGATCTCAACATTCGTCCACCAAAACATCACCATTAATCTGATGTTTGTTCTTGTTTGAATTTTTGGAAATTTCATAGTGCTCTGACAGAGGTTCTTTTCAAATTGATGACTTATCCTTCTTAGTGGCTCAAACTAGATCTTGTTCAGATATGTTATAACAAATTAGTGTATGTATTCACAGATATATACATATATCTCAGCTGAACTTGCTATTGAAAGTAGTTAGATTAATTAGGATATTTTGTGAATCAATAAAATGTAGGAGGAAAAAGGAATGGAAAACAACTGTTGACACTTGAGATAGTGTGGGAGGATGATGAGTTGTTTGAATGCCTTATATATGTTGAATATAACTACTTATCAGTATGGTTTGCAAATATTTTCTTCCATTCCATAAGTTGTTTAGTCACTCTGTTGATTTTTCCTTGGCTATACAGAAGTCTTTTAGTTTCACGTATTCCTATTTGTCTATTTTTGCTTTTGTTGCATATGATTTTGAAATTGTATTTTAAAAATAAATAGATGATAGAGATAGACAGATATATAGACAGATAGCATTATCCAGAATATGGTCATGGAGATTCACCCCTTTATTTTCTTTGAATAGTTTTATAGTCTCATGTCTCATATTTAAGTCTTTAATCCATTTCAAGTTGAATTTTGTGTATGGTGTGAAATGAGGATCTAATTTCATTCTTCTGGGTGTAGATATTCAGTTTTCTCAATACTATTTATTAAAGAGATTGTCATTTTAAAAACAAACAAAAAATTAGTGTAAATTCATTTTGGTGTAAAAAACTTTTCTATCAACTTTTTGAAGATCTGCATGTGTATGTGTGTGTGTATATACATACATATTGGTGTGTATATATAGTAAACTGGGTTGTCAAAATGTTTTCACATCATTGTGTGCTCTCATAAATTCATCCATCAAGGGATCAAGACAGCTGCATATATCCTAGAACAGAGAGTTGACCCAAAAACAACTGTTCCACTTGCAAAATAACGCTAGGTCACAAAACAAATAATCAGCAGCAACCTGCCTATATTTAATGTTTTGATTTTTGCTTCACAGGGACTTATTTGATTCTAATCTAAAAAAAAAATCAACTCATTGCATTAACTATTATTTAGATGGATTACAGAGTTGACATCTTCTTTTAAATTTTATTTATGTTTAAATTATTTCTATCATATATATTTCAGGTATACAGCTTGATTTTTTGATATATGTGTATGCTGTGAAATGATCAAGTCAAGCTAAGTATATGAACTGTAGTCAACAGACTCCTAGAACTTAATCAACTGAAACCGTGCATGCTTTAACAGCATATTGCCCTGCCAAAGCCTCTACGAACCACATTTTACTTTCTACTTCTGTACTTTGACTTGTTTCAGATTCCAAATACAAGTGAGATCATGCAGTACTTTTCATGTGAGATCATGGCACATTTCCCTTACTATAATATTATCCTTATTTTATTTATTTTTTATTTTAAAAAGTTTTA